TTTTCCCCATATTAACACTAAGAACTTGGTTGAACTCCTGTAGGAAAATTCAGAAAAGTGTGAGGGCCCCTCTATGACTGGATACCCCTGGAGTTTTTAACTCTGAGTTGTCCATATTGAGCTTCCAGCAATTTGTCAACTAAGTTTAGGTTTTCCTGTCTGGTTTTGACTTGTGAGTCTCTGCTCTTATAAGCCATTATTTTCTGTATTTGCCTATCTTTCTCTTTAATCATGGGGGCAGTGGTTTGCCTTGCATCCTCCCTTGTCTTATGGATCTGAGAAGAGATGTTGGCTTTTCAGTCTGTTCAGCTTTTTCGTGGTTAGGATGGGGTGGCAACTTTCAGACTTCTTACATGTGGAACTGGATAACCGCTGTTTCCCTTTTTATGTCTGCTGACTAGCTCAAGTGATGTCTTCAGTGTGCCTTGGTTTTCTTTTTTAAAAAATGCAAATGAAGTATATACTACTAAATAAAGATCTTAGGCTAGTAAAAAATTAAAGTAGAAGCAAATAGCGTTAAGCCTCTCTAAAGGCAGATGCCAAGAGAAACAATGTACTTTCCCCGCAGTCCTGATCTTTCCAATGACTAATTTTAAAAATTAGATATTTGATGATTGTAAAAAGGAATATGAAGACTGAGGAGTAGCTTCTGGGTTTGGCAACAATAGGTCTTGGGTGGACTTGGCAGAAGCTATCTCAGTAGAAGCTTGACCACAGTGGGTTGAGAATTGAGCAGGATGTGAGGGAGTCGCCAGAAAAAATAAAGGTAACTTTTTCAAGTGGTTTGGCTCTGAAGGAAAGGAGGTAGAGCAGATGTCTCATGACTGTGGGTCAAGGAGGTTTTGTTATTATAATTTTAAGATAGGAAAGGGTTGAGCTGGTATGAAAAAGTGGATAGAGAGGGGAAGGTTGATGATATAATACAGGGCTGGTTAGTGAAGAGAATGACATCTCTGGAAAGGTAGGAACGGAGGAGATTCAAGATTATTTTTAATAAGCACCAGTTATGTACCAGGCACGGTTCACTGGGAAATACAGCATTGAACAAAGCAGATAAAAATTCCTGTCCTCAGAGAGCATATACTCTGGCGAAAACAAACATCTACTCTGGTGGGGATAGACAGAAAACAAAAAGGTAAATAAGTATAATATATGGCGTTTAATATAACTAAATCTAGTGGTTCTTGGCACATATATATGTCATATATATATAAGTGTATATATATAGTAAAATATATATTAAAAATACCAGAGTATATAATACATAGTTGTTGTTTTTTTTAACCATTTCATACTGTTACTAAATCTCTTATTTCATGAAGTTTTTCAGTTGTATATATGTGTGTGAATATTGGTTCACGATATTCAGGAGGGTTCCAAAATTTGAAAGCCACTGATTAGAGGACAAGAAGGCATTAATATCCTTGTTGGAATGAGCAATAACACCAGGCTAAGGAAAGAGAAAATGATGGGGTAAATACAGGTGAATTTGGACGTTTGGTGGTAGGGAGCTGAGGGACTTTGAAGGATGGTAAGATTTTGTGAGGGAGAAATTAGGCTGGCAGAGATTGGAAGAGGAGGATGTCCAAGTCAGGGAGTCTATGAACAAAGAAAGGCATGACCATGAAGTGAAGTAACTGAAAGTGTTTCAGACACAGTAAGTAATCCACTTGACTAGAAGGCAGTTCACATTATTGAGTCTGCCTTTGCATTTTCCATTCTAACTAGCTTCATGACATTTCTGCTATTGCCCGTCCTAATTTGGGCCTTGATTATTTCCCACTTAGAATAGTTTCATAACCAGTTTCTCTGTATCCAAATTCATTTTACTTGCTAATGCCAGTTAATCTTGATACATTACTACTGCAATTTTTCCCCTCCACCCCCACTTAAAATAATAATTAAAAAACCCCTGATATTCTCTATTACCCCATTACACATTACATGTGGTAGACAATCATTTTTTGTATATGTGACTGCTTTTTGGAGAGTAGAGGGAGAGTCGTCTGGAAATGCAGGCTGGGGCCCTATTACAAATTTCTTAAACCCTAGAATGAGGACACTCTTTTTGGAGATCCCCAAAACTACCTCCAGGTTTGATGATTTGCTAGGAGGATTCACAAGACAGCATATAGTTGTACTCATGGCTATGGTTTATTACATCAAAAGGATATAAACACAGTCAGCCAAAGGGAAAGGCCTGTGGGGCAAGGTCTGGAAGAAATTAGGTGCAAGCTTCCAAGAGTCTTCTCCTAGTGGAGTCACATAAGAAATACTTAATTTCTCCAGCAATGAACTGTGACAACAGATGTGAAATGTTGTCTATTAGGGAAGCTCATTAGAGACTCAATGCCTAGGGTGGTGGGGGGTCGTGGTGGGTACATAGCTACTCTGCATAGCATGTACCAAAATTCTGGCTATGTAGAAGGAAACTAGGTGTTCAGCATAAACCACATAGCTTGTACATGGTACAAACAGTTTAGGCACAGTTAGTCACCCTTTCCATTTCTGGGAATGGTGGGGACCCTCTTGGAATCCAAGTTCTCAGCCAAGAGCCCACCTTGCAAGCAGACCTTTCTGAGGACAGTAATCTCAGGCCTGCTGTGCTAACTCTTTTCTGTACACTGTACTTAACGTGCTTCTATCAAGTGAAAAAGTGGCTTCAGGGGCTTCTTTGGAAATGGGGGTGGTATAGTTATAGAAATGAGGGAGATGTGAAGAGGGTGGGACTTTGTGCCCCCTCTCCCATTTTTCTCTTCCATAAATTTAGGATTGCATGGAAGGTTTTATATGTAAAAAAAAAAAAAAAAAGTGCTGCTGTTAAAATTATGTTTGATGTTTGAAAACCACTCCTTTAAACAATGAGATGAATTTTAAGAAAAATATTAATAAAATCACAGTTGGGATTTTAGCAAGATCATCTCTGTAGTTGATGGGAAGTATTTTCCAGATTGTGGTAGTGGTGAATTTGGGGCAGTGGAGGTGATCAGAGGCAGGGACGCCAAGCCAGAGATCATGAGAGCCCCAGGTAGCGTGGTAGCATGAGGAAGAGTGGGAGGGGATGGATTAGAGTATTTGCTCTACAAAGTGAGTAGTATTGTGATGTATGATTGGCTGAGGACCTGGTTGAAGAGTGAGATAGAAGTTTATTTTTTTACATAAAAATCCGGTAGGTGGCCCAGGGCTGGTTCGGCAGCTCAGCAATGTTGGAGAACTTTGCTCTGCTTTGTTCAGCATTCTGTGGGCCTCGCCTTGCCAGGTTGGCTCTTCCAGCTGCAGGCATCACACTTACATTCCAGTTAGAAGAAGGGGAGGGAGGGGAGGAGGGCATGCCTTTCTCTTTAAGGGCATGTAGCAGAGCTGCACAGGTTTCTGCTCACATCCCATTGGTTAGAACTGGTCATATGGCTGTGCCTGGCTGCTTGAGAGGCCAGAAATGGATTATTTAACTGGGCAGCCTAGTACCCAGCTAAAACTTCTATTCAGACAGGAAGAATAGCTATTAGAAGACAGCCCTAAAAAAAAAAAGAAGACAGCCCTGCCCTCTCCCCAACACTCATGGCTTATTTAGGATTTTCTTTCCTTTCTTGGGAAAAAGATGGAAATAATATTGACTCTTAATTTTTTCCCCAGGGTATGTAATTTTTATATTACTGAAACAAAGGAAACATGGCATTCAATGAAACAGTGATAACGCTGGCAATGTATCTTTGCAAAATCTTTGACTCAAAGAAGGGCACCAGCCCTGTCCAAAAAATGTGCCAGTTTGCTGCTGTTTATTGTTGCTTCTAAAAAATACAGAGAAAGATAGTAATATTGTAATAACTCTGTATGGTGACAGGTGGTAACTACACTTACTGTGGTGAGAATTGTGTAAGGTATAGAATTGCTGAGTCACTGTGTTGTCCCCTCGAAACTAATATAACATTGTATATCAATTATACTTCTATAAAAGATGAACCGTGAGAGACTATGGACTCTGAGAGACAAACAGGGTTTTAGAGGGGAGGGGGGAGGGGGGATTGGTTAGCCCGGTGATGGGTATTAAGGAGGGCACGTACTGCATGGAGCACTGGGTGTTATACGAAAACAATGGATTGTGGATCACCACATCAAAAACTAATGATGTATGATGACTAACATAAAATAATAAAATTTAAAAAAATAAAAAATATATATATAAAAGAATAAATAAAATAAAAATAGAACAGGAGTTACTTGCTCATTGCACCTGGCCCAGATAAGGAATAGTTATGATTGATCTTGCCATGGCCAATCATTTCTCTCCCAGGAGAGGCTAAAAAAAGGATCAGAAAACCTTACTGCTTTGCAACAGACACTCTGTTGTGTTTCAACTCTTTGTGTTCAACTTAAAAGTTATGGAAAAGGAAAGGAATCTTACAAGCATTGAAATCAGTGTTGTAATATCTGAATGCTGTGTGGTTTGGATAGGGAATAAGGGGGCAGTAGAAAACCCTTTGTGACTAATCTCTGTCTCTGCCTTGGTACTCAAAAACCAGAATTAGACTTACCTCAAAGGTGCCAGCCCTGCTGTGGGGAAGGATCTGATGAATCCAGGTGGCCCATTTAATGGAGTGGAGGCAAAGCAGAGACTCTATGGCAGGTTAGGTTTTCTAGAAGAGGAGTTACAATGATAGCTTGTGGGTTTGGGGTTTACTCTCTTTTGTTAAAATGAGATGATTATATTCATTGAACAAAATGTGTTTTATCTTTTTATTATTTTTTTTAAGTAGGCTCCACGCCCAAGGTGGGGCTTGAACTCATGACCCTGAGATCAAGAGTCTCACACTCCACTGACTGGGCCAGCCAGGTGCCCCAAAATGTGTTTTATTTTTATCAAAATGAGATTTACAATAACTGTTCACATATATATACTTTTACCTGGAAGGTTTTAATGTGATCATTAAGAAACATGTGGAGTACTACGAAATATCTTCATTTAAGGAACTCTAAAATTTTATATATTTTTTTGTTTATAGCCTATACAGTTCAGACCCCTGAGATTACATCTCCAACTGCGGCTACAGAGGTTTATTCAAAAGCTTTGGCTGTTTGCCATGGACCACTGGACCACTATGACTTTCTGATTAACACTCATGAGCTAAAGAATGATGAGAATCAAAGAAGAGTCATACAGTGTTTGCAGAAATTACATGAGGACCTTAAAGGATACAGTATAGAGGCAGGAGGCCTTTTTTCAAAGGTGAGTTTTGTGTGATATTAAAGATGGAACAGTTAAAAGTAAGCATTTTATAAAATGGATTAAATGCAGTTGGTACAATCATGAAACTGCTTGAAATTCCTCACCAGTTCCTTTTTTTTTTTTTTTAAGATTTTATTTATTTATTAGAGCATGAGTAGGTGGGAGAGGGAGAGGCAGAGGGAGAAGCAGACTCCCCACTGAGCAGGGAGCCCGATGTGGAGCTCCATCCCAGGACCCCGAGATCATAACCTGAGCCGAAGGCAGACGCTTAACCAACTGAGCCACCCAGGTGTCCCTCTCACGAGTTCCTTTAAAGAAGCTCTGTTGGATCCCTATTCCTGACCTCTTGATGCTCCATAGCTTTCTTTTACCTTTGGGGGGATTCAAATAGCTTCATATTTAGGTAATAATTGATGCTATCTAGTCTAAATGGAAATTGGACAATTTAAAAATTTCCCCTCCCTCTAGCTCAGGCCTGTCCTAGGATCAGCAGTGCAGAAGGTGGAGTGATTTGTTCTTCCCCTCTCCCTCCTCTTCCTGTGTCTGCTTGCCTGGCTTCTCTGGGGTCGGGATGAGAAGATGGAAATTAGAGCAAAACAGCAAAGTCTTAAGTGAACAGTTAAGGGCCTTTTGTGTGGTAGACACTGATATGCTAGTGCTTTGTTGAAAGGGCACACTGGTGGGTTCTTTTGGACTCCCCTGGGGACCTCCCCACTGCTCCACTTTTGGACCTCTTATGACTCTGGTTGAACACCTTGCTTGCACCACTGCATTCTGCCGGTCCCCCTTGCCCTTGCACTTAACCTTCTTGGGTGGGCTCCTGTCAGGACAGCTCTACCCAGTGCACCTTTTATGGTGTCTACTTAGGCCACAAGAAGCATAACATCTCCTTTCTCCAATCCCTACTCCAGCTTCAGTCAGCCTCCTGGAGACCTGTGGCAAGTTCTTCCAGGGACATTTCCATAGCCTGCTTTGGTTACTGCCTGTGGGATTTCCTCACCTAAACAAGCATCCCGCTAGAGAGGGGGATGCCCATCTTGTCATACACTCAATCCTAATCTCTTTGGACGCTTCCCTTGGGAGCCACCTGCTTTTGGCATGAGGTTTATCTGGGGGAGATGCCACAACATTCCTTACTTACCTAACAGCATTCTATCTTGATCGCTTTCTTCAGTTCCACTTTTTTTTAGGGCTGTTTTTGCTTCTTTTTTTTTCTTACAGTACTTCCTGCATGGATGTGACTAATACCTCTTTTTAGAATGGAGGGGAACTTGTTTCTCCTGTCCTTAGCTTTGAGCTTTTGCTGAAATTTTGAGAAAACAGGAAAACTCCCATTCCTTATCCCATTATAGAAGCCATGGCCATCAGTAGTGTTCTCTTCGAATTATGAGGGATATTAATAGTAAGAAAAGTTGGAATATGGTTCAACCAAAGAAACTAGTTTTCCTTTAATTGGCCAACCATCCTCCCCCACGTACAAATGTTCTATTATTAGGAGGTCTTTAGAGGAAAGGTAATATATAACATATGTTAGTAGTGCTTGATTTAAAAACTCTAATCGAAGTAATTTTACTTTTCAAAAAGCACTTTAGATTATACTTACAGAGTTTTATTTTTATCGAAAGAAAAATGCTGTCATCGCATTAACATCTTTTGGTTAAATGGACTAGGGATTCATTTAGATTACGGAAAGAAAGAGAGATTTAGAATAAGACTACATATGCAAATAACAGTGAAGGGCATCTCTGTTACACAGACAGGCCTCCCAGAGCCAGAGCCTGAGGCTTTGCATCAGTGGTTTTGAAAGTGTTGATGACTTGACTGGCAGGAGGCACAGGTACCTGCCGATTCTTGCTCCAGTGCTCTGCCATTCATGTAATTTGCTTACTCTGGTCTTCCTTCCCCCACGTCTGTTTCCACTTCAGTTTGTCCTGCCAATTTATTAATTCTCTTCCTGTATCTGTGGTTTAAATTCCTCAGTAAGAATCTGATAGGAAACCCAATCACGTTATCCCTGTTTGAGCAGAGCTTCCATACCAGGTTTTTTGGAGGGCACTAGCCAGTGTAAAGATCTGATCTCTGCCTAAGGTACCATCCAGGGCTCCCATGATTCTGCTGGTTCCCTCAGAAGTAGACTGTGACTGTGGTGGCCACTGTGATTGGCCGGCCCAGTGTAATGGTTATAGGAACTAATAAGGAATTATCCCTTTTGATGGCCAGCCTTTCTTCATCTTCCAGTATTTCCAAAAGTTTATAGGCGAGTAAAGAACTAAAAAGTTTGGAAAACGTAGACTGCTTATGTACTGTGTACCTAATTATAGTTTGTAATACAGATGGTCTTCCAAATAAAATACTGGCTTGGTTATATGTCATAGACAGCAAGCAGGATGTTTCACTTAACTGGGTTTTTGGTTATCAGAATGCAATTGCTTTCATGAATTTTCTATTTTGTTCTCTTTGTAGTCCTTTCCCTTTTAGAAATACAGTCCTTTTTTTCCCCCTCCTCCCCACTCTGTATCATCCCTAGGGCTCATCTTACTGTGATTGGTGAACTTACATCCAGTGAAAAGTATCCTTTAATCATTAATGTATCTGGTTGCCAATTCAACAACATTTTTTTTTTCTCTTAAGTAATTATTTGGCTCTTCTCAGGGGTATTCTCCCACACTTCCTCCTTTGATTTCTGAACTGGCAGTGATGGGTCTGCCTGGTAAATTGACAGTTATTTAGCAGTAAGTAAATGTAGTATTTACTACCTAGAGTCCCTAGTTTTAATGTGTAGCTGTAATCTTATGTAAGTAAGAGATTTGACCTCTCAGGTAGTTTTATTTTATTTTTTTATTTTTTATTTTTTTTAAAGATTTTATTTATTTATTTGACAGAGAGATAGAGAGAGAGCACAAGTAGGCAGAGAGTGAGGGAGAAGCAGACTCTCCACTGAGCAGGGAGCCCGACGCGGGGCTCGATCCCAGGAACCTGGGATCATGACCTGAGCCGAAGGCAGCCGCTCAACCGACTGAGCCACCCAGGCGCCCCTCTCTCAGGTAGTTTTAAATGTGTCTAATGAAAGCTTGTATTTGCTTAATCCTAATGCATATGTGAATAAGTCTTTTGTAGATAGATCAGCATTTCTTTGTGGTAGTATTTGTCCTGTAGTTTCTTAAGCTTGCCAAATCTTCAACATTGAAAAAGACCCAAACATCTAATGTAATCTGAGTAAAACATATATAAAAGCTTTAGTTTTTGTTTACTTCTTTGTTTTTTAAGGAGATGGACAAAGGGGTCCTTTGGGCAGTCTGACCTGTTTGCCCTCAGACCTTCAGACCACACCAGGGAGCCACCCTGGCTGGAGACCTTCAGTTGTCTGAGGAGTACTTGGGTTAGACTGCTGGAAGCCCGAAGAGAGAAAGGAGAGGGAAGGAAGAATCCCTTCCAAGGGCAAGAGGGGAAATCCCTCACCATTTTGGGCAAGGGCAGTCTAGCTGCTTCCCCCCTGGGGCTTTGGATCCTCATCTAGGAGTAACCTCGGCCAGGAGGTGGGGGCACCAAATGTGGTGTCTCTCCCGATCAGGTGGAAACCGGCAGTGTGGGCGGTGAAAGAAGTCACCTGAGGCAGAACAAAGGAGACAGAAGTTTATTGAAAACACCGCAAGGGAGTGGTGGGCAGCATAGCAAAGCAGAGACTGTCTGCCTAAAAGCTTTAGTTTTTGAAGATTGAAAAAATGCCACAGACTTCTTTCTTTCTTTTTTTTTTTTTCAAGTTTTTATTTAAATTCCAGTTAGTTAACATACAGTGTAATACTAGTTTCAGGTGTAGAATTTAGTGATTCAATACTTACATGCAATATCTGGTGTTCATCACAGCACTTGCCCTCCTTTTTTTTTTTTTTTTTTTTAAGATTTTATTTATTTATTTGTTAGAGAGAGTACACAAGCAGGGGGAACAGCAGGCAGAGGGAGAGGCAGGCTCCCCCCTGAGTAGGGAGCCTGATGCAGGACTCAATCCCAGGACCCTGGGATCATGACCTGAGCCGAAGGCAGATGCTTAACCGACTGAGCCACCCAGGTGTCTCAACACATGCCTTCCTTAATCCTCATCTCCTATTTAATGCGTCACCCTCTCCCTACCCTCTGGTAACTATCAGTTGTTCTCTATAGCTAAGAGCCTTTTTCTTGGTTTGCCTCTTTTTTTTCCCCCCTATGTTCTTTTGTTTCTTAAATTCCACATATGAGTGAAATCATATGGTATTTGTCTTTCTCTGACTTATTTTGCTTAGCATTATACTCTCTAGTTCCATCCACCTCATTGCAAATGGCAAGATTTCATTATTTTTTTATGGCTGAGTGACATTCCAGTGTGTGTGTGTGTGTGTGTGTGTGTGTGTATGTGTGTACATACCACTGTTCTTTACCTGTTCATCAGTCCATGGACATTTGGGCTCTTTCCATAATTTGGCTATTCTTGATAATATTGCTGTAGACATCAGGGTGCATGTATCCCTTTGGATTAGTATTGTTGGGTAAATACCTAATAGTGCTATTGCTGTATCATAAGGTAGTTCTGTTTTTAACTTTTTGAGGAACCTCTATACTGTTTTTCAGAATGGCTGCACCAGTTTGCATTCCCACCCACAGTACAAGAGGGTTCCCCTTTCTCCACATCCTCACCAACACCTTTTGTTTCCTGTGTTGTTAATTTTAGCCATTCTGACAGGTTTGAGGGTACTATCTCATTGTAGTGTTGATTTGTATTTCCCTGATGATGAGTGATGTTGAGCATCTTTTCATGTGTCTGTTGGCCATTTGGATGTCTTCTTTGGAAAAATGTCTGTTCATGTCTTCTGCCCATTTTTTTTAAACTGTATTATTTTGTATTTTGGGTGTTGTTTGGTAAGTTCTTAATATATTTTGAATACCAACCCTTTATTGGATATATCATTTGCAAATATCTTCTCCCATTCTGTAGGTTGCCTTTTAGTTTTGTTGATTGTTTCCTTAAC